AATAATATTACAGATGTCCTCGTTTTCTCCCCATTGTTTTCTCCACCCAGGTCCAGTCTCATTCCACACCTTCACTTCCCAATTGTCTGTGTCCATAGATCATGCATACATACATATAAGACCTTTGGTTAATCTCTCCCTGCCCCCACCCCAACCACTTCCCTCTGAGATTCATCAGTATGTTACATGTTTCCATGCCTCTGGTTCTATTTCATAAGTCAGTTTATGTTGTTCATTAGATTCATTTTTCATTTAATTTGGTTTTTAGATTCAATTGTTGATAGATATGTATTTATTGCCATTTTCTTGGTAAAATTTCTTCTTTTCCTCCTCCTTCATCTCCTCCAACTTCTTTCTTGTTTCCCCTCCTCCTCCTCCTCCTCCTCCTCCTCCTCCTCCTCCTCCTCCTCCTCCTCCTCCTTCTACAATAACCTTCAACATGAAATACTCTTATTACATGAAAAACTGTTTTGGTGGCAATGAACTCCTTTAGCTTTTTGTTGTTTAAGAAGCTCTATATCTGACCTTCCATTCTAAGTGGTGGCTTTGCTGGGTAGAGTAATCTTGGTTGTAGGTCCTTGCTATTTATTTATTACTTACAATATTCCTTGCCACTCCCTTATGGCCTGCAAAGTTTCTGTTGAGAAACCAATTGACAGTAGTATGGATGCTCCCTTGTAGGTAACTAACTGCTTTTCTCTTGCTGATTTTAATAATCTTTGTCTTTAAGCCTTACCATTTTAATTATGATGCCTTTTGTTGTGAGCCTCTTTGGATCCCTCTTGTTTTGGACTCTCTGGACTTCTTATAGATCTATTTTTTCAACAGGTAGGGACATTTTTGTCATTATGGCTTCAAATAGATTTTCAATATCTTGCTCTCTGTCTTCTCCTGCTGGCACCCACATAATATGAATGTTGGTTTTTGAAGTTGTCCCAGAGGATCATTGCACTATTTTCATAATTTTTTTTTCTTTTTGCTCTTATGATTGGGTATTTTTTTCTTCCTCTTATTCCAGATTGTTGATTTCATTCTCAGAATCCTGTACTCTACAGTTGATTCCCTGTAAACCATTCTTCATTTCAGCTTGTGTGTGCTAATATTTGATTAGTCCTTTTTAACGTCTTTGTAATATTTACTAATATCCTTGAAAGTCTCACTAAGTCCCTTGAAGCTCTCTTTGATTCCCTTGTATCACTCAATAAGATCCCTGAGTAACATTAATATCATTGTTTTGAATTTTGTATCTAGTAGTTTACTTGCTCCCATTACATATATTTCTCTCTCTGGAAATTTCTTCTGTTCTTTCATTTGTGACAAGTTTTTATTTGTGTTTTATTTTATTTTGTTTATTTCAGAGAGGAAGATAAAGGGAGAGATAGAAAAGTCAGTGATGAAAAAGAATCATTGATTGGCTGCTTTTTCATGCCCCCTACTGGGAAAAAGGCTGCAACAAGGGCATGTGCCTTTGACTGGAATTGAACCCGGCTGATGCATTCACTGAACCAAACCAGCCAGGGTAATATAGCAATATTAAAGACTGTCTTGTGTAGCTGATGGTCCAGCCAGGAGGTGTAGGAGGATGCTGAACTTTATGCTTTTCATAAGGAAGGGGAATATGTCCTTCATTTAGAGCAATTACACTTAAAATGCAATGTTGTGCCACTAGACCAGCTTCTGTAAAATAAGCAAGTGAGAGAACACAAAGATAAGTCTGTGAAACCTGGAGAACTCTCTGGGATTTGAGGTAATTCTCTGGGACCAAGAGTTCTTGCAAGGACCATTGGTTATAGACAGTGGTGGAGAGAGTTCTGGCTCACCTGCTTCTGGTCACCGTGCTAGAGGTCATTCTCATGGGACCAACAAGTTGCTATACACTGAACTGAGTAACCATCCTGAGCCTGCTCCAGACACAGACAACTGGAACCATAAGGTGCCATGTTTGGCGCTCACACTAGGCACTGACCTGGAAGTCTCTTAATGGGATCAACAGGGTTCTGTGAAGCCTGAACGTGGTGCTGTCCAGTATGGAGGCCCTGAGTCCGCAGACAATCATTATCTGCCAGGAGACCCAGGCCTGAGAAAGCATCATGTGGCCTCCTTTCACCTTCTCTACAGGACTCAGAGCAGGGAGTCACCTGGGACACACACACAGGAACCATGCAAAAGGGCTTCCAAGCCGCAAGTTGTAACTCATGAACAGGCCAATACAATGCTCTATGTTACTGGAGCAGATTTTCATGTCTTTAATAAATTACAAAGGAACAACACAGCACATTGCAGATCAGAAAATACCAGGCTGTATCACATGTGCAAAGGGTCAGTATGGTTTCATGGACCATTTGTCTTAGAGTCACTGCGAAATGTGTTGTGAATTGTGGATCTTGGTGAAGAAAGCTCAGAAGGCTCCTCTTGTGATATTGCACTGCTCTTTGTCACACATCCCTGCATTTTCCAGTTCTCTGCTGGGAATAGGGATTAGCTATAGACCCAGCCTAAAAATGACTGAAACACAAACGAAACAGACAGGAGGGTATAAACAGTCATTTAGGCCGTCATCAGAAGAGCATATGCATCCACATGGGGCATCAGGCTTTGGGGGTGTGTGTGAGAAGGCTAATGGGGCGTGGACTTGGATCCATGTACAGGGTGATTTCTGGGTTTGGGCAAAACCCTATTCTCCTGACATCTCAAAATGTGGACTTGCATCATGGAGTAGGGGGAGGAGGAAAACATTATCTACTTTGGGACCAAAGGCAAGTTATTCCCTCTCATGACTGCAAAGTGTTTTCAAGTCACCCTTTCCTGCACTTGTCTCCCTTGATGAGCATCCAGTCAGTGTGTACCATCTTCCCGGGGTGAAGAGAAATGAAATCTTTCATGATCAACTTTGGGGATTCTCTTCTGTTTTCACATGGACAAGAATGTACCCAATGTCTAATATCAGAATATTGAACTTGAGGAATTCAGCGCTGTATTAGGGCAAAGGAGAGTTTGTTTCAGCTGAGGCAGAGGTGGAGCAGCATCCTCACTGACCCAGGCAGGACTCCGCTCTCACTGCTGAGCCACCCAGAGCGTGCTGCTAGTTGTGGGGGCCCTCAGCTCCTAGATATACTGACCCCTCACACCTTCCTTCTGGGCACACTCTCCTTCGGGGGCTGTGATAGCACACACTGGGTCCTGGGTCTCCCTTCCCTGCATGCCAGGCACTCTGTGCACCTGTGTCCTCCCCTGCCCACACTATCACCAGGACACTGCTCTCCCTCTCTGCATGTTCTGCCCTGGAGGTCCCAGTCATGGGAAAATGATTCCACATCTTCTCCCCTGAGTTCTGGGACAGAGTCTAGAGCACCTCTGTTTCCTCTCACACATTCCACAATAGACTCTCCCAGCTCCTGAGCCTGAGATCTGACAGTTAGTGAAGTCAGGGTTTCAACACGTAAAAACTGGTAATATCCCCCAGAAGAAGTTCAAGCTCACATGGACGTCATTTTTTTCTTGTTCCCTAATGTCTTCTTAGCACCAGGACAGCATTCAGTTCTAAGTAAAGGGCCTGTAATGTGTTTGTTGAATGAATGAAACTTTTGAAGTAGCCACTCCACTTCTTCTTTCTTTCTTCCTTTCTTTCTTTCTTTCTTTCTTTCTTTCTTTCTTTCTTTCTTTCTTTCTTTCTTTTTTTTTTTTTTTTTAAAAAAACACATATTTTATTGATTTTTAACAGAAAGGAAGAGAAAGGGATAGAGAGTAGAGACTTAGAAACATCAATGAGAGAAAATCATTGATGAGCTGCCTCCTGCACACCCCCTACTGGGGATGTGCCCGCAATCAAGATACATGCCCTTGACCAGAATCGAACCCGGGACCCTTCAATCCGCAGGCCAACGTTCTATCCACTGAGCCAAACCGGCTTCGGCTCCACTACTTTTTTTTTTTGGTTTTAAAGACTAATCTCCACCTGAGGATATTTCTGTGATGATTTTTATAGAAGTGGAAGATAGAGAAAAAAGACAGGGAGAAATAGTGATGTTAGGGAAACAGATCCATTGGTTGCCTCCTGCACAAGCCCCATCCAGGGCCTGGGTTGGGAGTATCCTGCATCCAAGGTACATTCCCTTGCGAGAATCGAACATAGGAACCTTTGGTCTGCAGACCGGTGCTCTATCCACTTAGCAAAACTGGTTAGTGCAGCAGTTCCACTTCTCTTTATGTGTTCAAATGAACTACTCCACATGTGAACAGGGTTTGTGCATAAGAAGAGGAGCAACCAACTGAGAAAAACTTTTATTAAGTAACAGTACCTGATACAGGGTAAATGAGTAGTCGGGGTTTGCAATACTGAACAACTGCAGAACAGAACAAGAGGAGCATGCCCAGAACACTTAGTAGAGAAAGCAAATAGAAGATGCCCACAGTCAAACCGTAGTGTGTGTGTGTGTGTGTGTGTGTGTGTGTGTGTGTGTGCGCGCTGCACCCCTGATGGCCAGTAGTTCACAGTCGTGCCCATGTCACGAAGGGCCAGCAGGTTCTACTTCTTTCCATGGGCACATGTCACATCCCTGAGGTGGAGACAAGGAGAGAGAAGTGGCAGTGAGCTCCGCTTGCCTGATCGTTAATACCCAACCCCTCATATGATTGCAGGATCCTGAGCACTCAGATTCCTCCCCACCTCATGTTTGCACACATCGCCCACCGCTCCTCAAAGTGAATCTTCTGCTCATGCCACAGGGACTCTCACCTGTTGTATGAGTTGCTAGGCTAGAGGCAGCTGAGGCCTATAGTTCAGGGGCTGACGAGAGGGGAGGCCCAGGGCATCCTGGGTAGGGAGATCCCTGCTACACAGAGCAGGGAGTAGAAAGAGGGAGGGAAGCCTGGTCATTCAGTGTCAATGCTGCACTCCAAGGGTCTTGGCTAAGGAATGATTTTGGGAAGGAATGACAAGGTGTGACTATGAGAACAGTGTGGTTTGCAGTGGTGTGGGCTGGAAGCAAAGATTTACGTACTTAGTCATCTTCCTCTGTGTCACTGATCTCTCTGTATACAACCCGGTCCGTTCTTTCCCTCAGCCTGCCAAGCCAGGCAGTCTCTTCTTTCCTTGATTCTGGGATATAGAGACTTTGGTTAATGTGGACGAAGCATTGTTGGGCCTATTTTGTCATATAAGAAGGTTTCTCCTCCCCTGCAAAGGGCCAAGAGCCTTGTACTTGGTCTGCTGTCTACATCCTCTAGTTCAGCAATATTGAGATGATCAAACTGAACCAGTACACAATAAATGCCAGGTTGAGCTTTAGCTCCTGGGCCCTCCAATGGGTTAGATTCCCAACCTATTTACTTATCAGAACAGTCATATAGAACTTTAAACACATACTGTTAAGGGCATATTTTATGTCAGACATTGAGCTGAGGGTGGTGGATACAGCTTTGAGGAAGACATGTGCCCAGGTTACACAGGTGGAATTAACTGAGCACCTTTCATGTTGTAAGTCTTACAGTTTTCATTTAATGTTTTCAAACAATGAATGAGATTTGACTCTTTATTTCCACTTTATGAGATAAGAATCTGGAGTTCAGGGAACTGAACTCCAGCAACACAAATTTTATGCCCATGATAATTCAACCTGTGATTTTGGAAGTCCTGTTCTCAGGTCTCAGAGGGAGTGGAACAAGCTGCGAAGTCCAACCTGGACATAGGCCTGTTGGGGACCCAGCTCCCATGCCCATGAAGCCAGAGGAGTTGTTTTCCCACCCGCCCCCTTACCAGACTTCTTCCTCAGCTGACGTTTGGCCTTCTTTTCTGCTGGGGAGCAGAGCTGTTTCGGAGCTGGCTCTGAGTCAGGTGTTACTGGTGGTGCTTCTTCCACAGGTTCCACCTTTATCATGTGAAGGTCACATACAAACACATTCAGAGGCATTTCTCTGTTGCTTAAAGAATATATGTCTTCATTTGCGGTATTTTAATGAACATTCTCTACAACTCTGGGGATTACATGACCGGTACCTCAAAAGTGAGGAACCTGGGCAGTTAGAAGGAAAAGGAATGGCCTAAATGAGGGTGTTTTATGTACTAAAACACTTGGCTTTCTGCTATTTCCATACCAATGCTCTGGCAAATAGCAGAAGTCTCCATGTAAGCATGAGTGTGGTATAAAGAACATTTTTGGGAAAATAGCGTTGTAAAAATCCACGAGGCCTATGAAAGCAATGAGATATTCTTCCCCCTCTTCCTTCCTATCTGAAATAATTAAAATATATTTCATAAAACGGGCAAAGTACATAAAGTGACACTTCTCCATAAAGAACATACAGATGGCCAAAGACATATGAAAAAATTCTCAGTCACTGATCATAAGAGGGACACAAGTTAAAACGACAGTGGGGTTTGACCTCACACTTGCCAGAATGGCTTCCATCAAAGAAATCAATAAACAACAAGTGTTAGTGAGGACGTGGAGAAATTGGAATCCTGGTACAGTGCTGGTTGGTGCAGCCACTATGAAAAATGCAGACTGGTGCAGCCACTATGAAAAACAACAAGGAGTTTGGATTTTTTTAAATCCAGTATTGATTTTTTTTATCCCACTCATCTACTAATGGGAACTTGGGCTGTTTCAGATCTTATCGATAATAAATAATATGCAATATTTATAATAGATAAGATCTGGAAACAACCCAAGTGCCCATCAGTAGATGAGGGGATAAAACGAAACAAAACAGTGGTACATTTACAGCAGTAAAAAATAATAATCTCCTACCCTTTGAGACTGCATGGAGGGACCTGGAGAGCATTATACTAAGCGAAATAAACCAGTCAGAGAAAGACAAGTATCACATGATCTTCCTTATATGTGGAATCTAATGAACAAAATAAATCGACTCACAAAATAGGTCCAGAGACATGGAAGTATGGCACAGACTGAGGAATCCCAGCAAGAAGGGAGGTGAGTAGAGATTAAGGCGAACTTATATGCATAGACAATAGTGCGATGAAGGCCTGGAGAGGTGGTATTAGGGTGGAGGGCTCATAGTGGGGAAAAGGTGGGACACCTGTAATAGTTTTACAATAAAGGTAAAATTTTAAGAAGTGTTTGGAGGGGACAAAATACTGCTTGAAAATGGCGTGGGGCGGTTAATATGGGGAGGGGGAAAAGGAAAGGAATGCGACACAGAAATTATGATACACAGACAAGAAAGTAGTGCCAGATGAGACATATTGTCCCACCCTGACACCATTTGCCAGTATAGTGGAGTTAGGGAGGTGGTTCCCTCATCAACTCTGCTGGTGTCAGGAGGTGTCATGGCCATCAGCTTTAATGCACTTTGCATTGGGCTCCTTCCTTAGGAAAGAGTGAACAAGAAATGTAACCAAGCGAAATAAAGTGGTTTGCTTGGAATCAATGGAAATGAATACTTTCTCTTGTGATCTTTCAATTCTCTACTCAATTGTCTTCACACTGGCAACAAACCCCTAGATCCCTTTATCATCTCAAGTAGCTTAATCTGCAATTGTGGAATCAAGTATTCAATAACAATTTGGGCGCCTTCTGAGAAGGAAAAAGAATGGCCTAGATGAGGGTGTTTTTCTGACTAAAACACTTCGATTCCTACTATTTTCAGACCAATGCTCTGGAAAATAGCAGAAGTCTCCATGGTAGTGAGGGAGTCACAGTCTAAGGAGCTCCTCAGATATGGAGAGTGGCCCTGTAACAGGAAGAGGGCTGGTACTTCCTGTTGTGTTAAATGGAAGGAAAACCCCTATGAAGAGAACCCGAACTTCATAAACATATGAAAACCTTTAGGAGCTTAGGAATGGACTGGGGTTTTGGATTGTATTACTGTCACAGTCTCTGTGGTCTGTGGAAAATTATGCAGTATCTATGTAACCCAGCCTCTTCATTATTATCATTATTATGTGCTAGTCTTGTTATCAATATCCACACAATTATTTTGTATATAATAATAGTAACACTGTCATAAATGGTTTCTTATAATTTAATTAATCCATTTAAAGTGCTTCAAATAATATTTAGCATCGTCTCTGAATGGTGGCAGAATAGATAGCCGTGTCCCGAGTCTTGTCCCAGAGCAGAAAGAAAGAACAGCAGAGGTTCGCATGGGGAGTGTTTTTTGTTAAGGGACAGCTCTACTCCAGGAGAAGGTGAGGACTGCTGGACCTGGTTCCCCTGACCAGCTAGACCCCATTGCTGCTGAGTTCCCTCCCAGAGCCACTTGGCTCAGATGTGTAGAGCACGCCATCTTGAAGGGGAATGTGGAGGTTATCGGAAGCCTGAAAATCTACAACTGTGGCACCCAGTGAATAGCTGCAAACCCCAGAACATGGCCCACAATTGGCGCAAACATGCGGATTCAGAAGAACTCCACCACAGAAAGGTCAGATTTTGCCTGGGATAAGGACAGAGAGAACTACATAACGAGACATCCAGAGAAGAGAGACCATGGAGGAGACAAAGAAACAGCCCACGTATGAAAGAAAAGCAGGCATCACCAGAAAAGGAAGTAAGCAAAATGGAGGCAAGCAACCTGTCAGAGAAAGAATTCAGATAACTGGTCATAAGGTGGATGAAAAGAATGGAAGACAAATTCTACAATAGAGGAAATGAAGAATGTCATCGCTGCTGTAATGAACTCAATAGAAAGCATCAAGAGTAGACTAAAAGAAGCAGAGTACTGCATCAGTGAGCTAGAAGACAAGGTAGGAAAAAATACCCAAATAGAACAGCTTCTAGAAAAAAAAATTAAAAAGCAGGAAAGCCTAAGAGAACTTTGAGACAACACAAAACAAAACAACATCTGCAGAATAGGGGTTCTAGAAGGAAAGGAAACTGAGAAAGAAATAGAAGACCTGTTTGAAGAAATAATGACAGAGAACTTCCCTGATACAGGAAAGAAAAAATCCACACAAATCCAAGCTCAGAGAGTCCCAAGCAAAATGAACTCCAAAAGACTGACACCAAGGCACATTATAATTAAATTGGCAAGCACCAATGACAAAGCAAGAATCTCAAAAGCAGCCAGAGAGAGACAGAAAGTTACATATAAAGGAACCCCCATCAGACTAGCAACTGATTTCTCAACAGAAACTCATCAGGCCAGAAGGGAATGTAATGAAATATAAAGTCATTCAAAGGAAGGGTCTGAATCCAAGGATACTGTACCCAGTAAAGCTATCAATCAAACTTGAAGATGAAACCAGGAGCTTCACAGACAAAAAAGGACTAAGGAAATTTATCACCACCAAACCAGCAATGCAAGAAATGCTAAAGGGTCTTCTATAAAAAAAGAGAAATAGAAAGTGAAGAAGGAACACAGGGGAAAAGAATAAAAATGGCAACAAATAAATATCAATAATAACTTTATTTTATTTTATTTTTTCTCATTTTTAAATTAAGGTATTATATGTGTACATACCTTACCAATCCTCACCCCTCCCCCACTCCCATACATGCCATCCCTCCCCAGAGTTTTTCGTTCATTGGTTATGCTTATATGCATGCATACGAGTCCTTTGGTTGTTCTCTTATCTCCCCGATATCTCCCGACCCTCCCCGCTGTAACTTGACAGTCTGTTTCTTTTACTGTCTCTGTATCTATGGTTTTGTTCATCAGGCAAGCAACCTTGTGGTGTTTTTCTTTCATTGACTGGCTTATTTCACTCAGCAAAATGTTCTCCAATTCCATCCAAGTCGCTGCAAATGATAAGAATTTCTTCTTTTTATGGCAGCATAGTATTCCATTGTGTAGATGTACCATAGTTTTTTGATCCAATCAATAATAACTTTAAATGTAAATGGATTAAATGCCCCAATCAAAAGACATAGGGTAACGGATTGGATAATAAAACAAGACCCATATGTCCTAGCCAGTTTGGCTCAGTGGATAGAGTGTCAGTCTGCAGACTGAAAGGTCCCAGGTTTGATTCCGGTCAAAGGCATGTACTTTGGTTGCGGGCACATCCCCAGTGGGGAGTGTGCAAGAGGCAACTAATCGATGTTTCTAACTCTCTATCCCTCTCTTTTCCTCTCTGTAAAAAATCAATAAAATATATTTAAAAGAAAGAGAAAAGAAAAAGAAAACAAGACCCATATATCTGCTATCTACAAGAAACTCACCTCAGAAAAAAAGATGCACACAGGCTGAGGGTTAAATGGATGGAAAAAGGTTTTCCAGGCGAATGGAAATGAAAGAAAAACTGGGGTATCAATATTTATATCTGACAAATTAGATCTCAAAGTGAAGGCCATAACAAGAGATAAGGAAGGCCACTTCATCATACTAAAGGGAGCAATCCAACAAGAAGAAATAACTCTGGAAAACATATATCCACCCAATACAGGAGCACCCAAATACATAAAAATACTCCTGGAGGATATCAAGGGAGAGATTGACAATACAACGGTAGTAGGAGACTTTAATAACCCACTATCACCATTGGAAAAATCTTCTAAAAAAACAACAATAAAAAACAGCAAAGAAACATCAATCCTAAATGACTCACTAGACCAGATGGAATTAATTGATATCTTCAGAACATTTCACCCCAAAGCCACAGAATATACATTCTTCTCAAGTGCACATGGGTCGTTTTCAAAGATAGAACATATGTTGGGACATAGGCAAAGTCTTTTCAAATTCAAGAAGATAGAAATCATATCAAGCATCTTCTCAGATCACAGTGGCATAAAACTAGAAATCAACTTCAATAAAAACAATCCAAAGAGATCAAACACATAGAGACTAAGTAGCATGCTATTAAACAATGACTAGGTTACCAGAGATATCAAGGAAGAAATAAAAAACATCATGGCAACAAACGACAATGAAAACACCACAATCCAAAATCTATGGGACACAG